CCCCCCCCCCCCCCCCCGTTCATTGCTCTCTGTCTGTGCAGCAACGGGATTCGTCTATGCAGGCCACCCTGGGTTGCTCCAATTAAAAAGCATTGGTGGATTTGTTTTACAGCCTTAGTTTTAAGCATACATGTGTAGCCTTGGCTTTGTTCATTAAAAACCATCAGGCACAATCACGCAGCTTATTCTGTGGATAGACTCTGCCCATATAACAGCAGGGCAAGGATTTGATCAGCCGAAAGTTAAGTGTGCACATATTCTGACAATCAAAGTAGCATTTTTCCAATATCTTTATTCAGGGACCCAAGCAATCTAAAACCTAAGGATCATTAATGTCTATGGAGATTCTCAGTCATCCAGGTCATGGCTGTCCCAAAGGTGTTTTTTTTTTTCAAAAGACAACTGGACTTTCTTTATTTTTTGCTTGAAGATGTTTTGCTTCTCATCTAAGAAGCTTCTTCAGTTGTGAAGAATCACCTTGGATGAACTGAAGAAGCTTCTTGGATGAGAAGCAAAACACCTTCAAGGAAAAACAAAGGAGGTCCAGTTGCCTTTTGAAAAAGCACCTTTGGGATAAAGATAATTAAGTTCAGCTTACTGCTCAAAAGCCTCTAGCATAATATAGTCAGGGTTCCGATTTCATCAGGAGAAGCCAAGTATTTCCTGATTTTGCTTCTTTGCATTTGTTCTCTCTTCTACACCAATGCCAAAGGTGTCTCATTTTCAACTGCTCTCAGTCAACCAAATATCAAAAGCATTACATTGCCAAACAGAGTCGGCTATGTGGCACTATCGCTGAAGGTAAACAAGGCCTGCTGATAGCCAGAGTGATGTTTTCTGAATTCATCTAACTCAGGGGTGGGAAACTCTGGTAACTTTAGAACCTGTGGACTTCAACTCCCAGAATTCCTCAGCCATTCATGCTGAATTCTGGGAGTTGAAGTCCACAGGACATAAAGTTGCCAGAATTGCCCCCTCGTGGTCAAGATTCTGGTTATAACTTGTAAGGAAGCAGCAGCTTTGATGCTGCTTTTGCCTGTTTAAAAACTACAAAAATCACTGTGCCTGGCAACAGAGGGAACATTAAGGCGGATGCTTTAAAGCCAACAAGACGTCTGAATATGACAGAAGTGATTTATTTCACAAATGCACACAAATGACACAATCATTAAGCACCGGGATTCAAAAGTTCTTGATTTATTGATGTTCTCTGTAACCATTCATGTTGACAAGAAGGAATTTAAAGTCAACATATCCAGGAAGATGCTGTAGGGAAATACTCAGTTAAGAATTCCTTCCTTGTCTCGGGATAGTCAGCCAAGAAATAAACCCTCAAACAATAAAGACACAAAGCCGCTCCATTTGGAAAAGTCCAGGCTTACCCTGTCCCATTTATCATTTTTTTTATCATTTTAATGACATTTATAGGCCACCCTTTTCCCTGAGGGGACTCAGGGCGGCTTACAATAAATAGGAAGGGGGTGCAAGACAAAACACAAGAANATGTGATAAAATACCACAACTCTTTTTTAGAGAAAAAAAAATCTCCCTCTGTAAAAACTGGATCCCATTTTTACTGGAGGATCCATGTTTATGATCTTAAATCAAAGACATGATAAATTCCAGATCTCACCACACTGGGGCAAGCCTAATCAGGGCAAAATTTATATGTCATCACATCGTCTATGAGATTCCAGCCCCTTTTTTTGCGTGGTTTGGCAATCACAAGTGAAGTAACCATACATTTCTGCCTGAACAGAAATTAATTTGAAGACCAGGTCTGAGTATTATAGGGACAGGTACTAAATATTTTAATCCTTTGAAACACCCTTATACGAATCTGATTTTTAAATGACGATGTTCCAATCATCGCATTAATCGTGGGATTTACTTGTGGTTAAACATGCAGAGGCTTGTGGGGTAGTTTCTTTTTTTTTTTACATAATTGTAAATGTTTTCTTTGTATTGGCTGATATTTGTGGCATCTGTTGGCTCACGCTGGTATTTGTGGAACATTTGCAAGAGAGATTTGTTTTCTTCGGAGGAGGAAAATCAGTTCTTTGTGGAAGGCAAATTCCTCACATTCCAGATCTACATCAATTCAATAGCACCCTCTGCTGGTTACATATAATCAGCTACGAGCAGCATTGAATATAGGTGTTTTTTTGTCAATTTATACAGTATATTTATATCCTGCCTTTCCTTCAAGAGCTTTAGACAATAACCAAAACATAAAAGTCCTGCGCATAGTTGGAGAAAATAATCTCATGTCAGAAAAACCCAGGAGGCCATCTACGTTGAGCTAGGTGGACAAATATCCTTACAGGTAGTCCTCATCTAGCAACTGCCTTGTTTAGCGACTGTCTCAATAACGACAGTCATAATTTACAATCAGTCCTTGCATTTATGACTTTTGTAAGTCTGTGAAGCAAAGGAAAGCTGTTAGATCATAAGCACCGTTGCAGTTTCAACAANCTGTTGGGCCTCAACAACCACATTGCTTAACATTAGGAGAAATACAAGAGCAACAATGGATGCAATGAAGATGCAAAACAGCGAAACTATCTCAGATGTATACGAGATCTCGGAGGCATATGAGGTTTGTTTTTAATTGGTTTGATGCTATTTTTATGCTTGCACTGCCTCCAAATGGTAGGAAGTCATACCTTAATTCTTGGCACAGCATCAGCAGCCTTCAGCAGCGTGACTGAAGGGGGTCACCAGGGTCCCAAAAGAAACCTCATAAAAATAGTACGGCTTGTGGTTAAAGTGTCAGACAAGCACCTTGAAATGTTTCCATGCAAATTGATATTCAGGCACGAGTCTTTGGATCTGATGCAACCCCACTGGATGATTATGAGTCTGGGATAAAATTGGCGTCAGCTCGCTAGGCAAGAAACAGCAAGGACAGGCTTCCAGCGATGTCAAAGTGTGGATAAGTGAATTTATTGTAGCAAAGTAAAATGAAGCTGTTAGGAAAGAATTCAAGGGACTTGCTAGGCTTTTATATGCAAGACCTATTTATGGTGAAATTCAGATTTCCGTGTCCTTTTCATCATTCGCACTATGTACTGTTACAGGTTAAAAAATGGACTTTTTTCTACCTGACTCTCATTTTGGTAATGAACTGATCTTTTTTGCTCATGTACTTTCAGCTGGAAAAATTTCAAAACACAAATAATATGAATGCAATTTGAAAAAAATGTGCTATCTAAGAAGATGGTGGCAGAAGTAAGAAGCCAAAATGGGCAAGGATCAAGAAATCAGATGGACAACCAGCAACATCTCTTCCTTAATCACTTTGTCTACATTCTTAAGCCATGTTAACTGAAGTGGATCCCACCCAGCTGGTAGAGATAATTTTTAGGGACCTTCCTAGGAATTAGCTGGTGATTTCAAAAAAATGCACAGTATTGCACATATTTTTCAACTCTTCTCATTCAATCTGATGAGAAATTAGGTTTAAATATATATTTTTTCCATTGGAGATATTGTTTTCCAGGAAATCCTGATGAAATTAATATACGATTCTTGCCATTAACTTTCTTATAGGTTGAATGTGGTGTGTCTCATCTTTTCTTCCATTGCATAATCATCTTTCCATCATTTTTGGAACCTCCGCGGCTTTCATGCTGGATTAAATCCAAAGAGAAGACAATCATGAGGAATTTTTTTTCATAGAGTATTTTCAGATCTGGAGTTGGAGACAGTCAAGGAGACTGCAGAATTGCTAAGAAATGCCCTAAAAACAACCAGCAAAAATTCAGATGAAGTTTTAAAGCATTCCTATTTTTAAAAAGTCATTTCAGAGGAGAGGATTTTAGAGACAGGATTTGAAGGCCCAATTTGAGCAAACATCTCCCAGTTCAGGGCATAGAAGTCTCTGTTATGATTCTGATAGCATTCTGCTTCTCTATTTAGCTGTCTCACACTTACATTATATTTTTCTCAGAGCTTTTTCAGGCAATCCTACAACTTCCTTGTATTGATGTATTAAGTCCATTGACCTCTGTTGACCAAGTCAGTCCAACAACAGTTGACCTTAATTCAGTTGCTGCTAGTGAGCAAATTCTCCAATTCTTCAGAAATAATGAAGAGCATAGGACAAAAATAACACAAAGGAAGGAAGAAGATCAGAAGTGACAAACTGTCATCTTGTATTAACTACCGTGATGTTCCTAGTATAGTCACCTCCAAGGATAGCGTGCTGCACGATGCTGTATTGGATGAACCATTATTTAGATTCAAAAGATGCGGGAGGTGTCCTATTTTAAGTTTTTATTGGGTAGGATATTTGATAATTCCTGAAAGCATTAGGAGAAGAGTGTAGAAGTTTTTAGGAGTCAAAATAGAACCTGGACAAAATTATACTTGATTTAATCTCATTTACTTGTAAACTTAACTAAAACGGTTACATAAAGTTCATACGACTCCTTGCCGTTGATTTCAGTGGTGGGTTTCAAAAATTGTTCGAACCTACTCTGTGGGTGTGGCCTCCTTTGTGGGAGTGGCTTGCTGCCCATGTGACCGGATGGGAGTGGCTTGCCGCCCATGTGACCAGATATGAAGATGCCGACGACACTTGTCAGAACCACCTTAAATTATCTCACACATAGCACTGGCATGCATAAGAATATGATGTAAATTTGTTTTTTAAAAGGCATCTTTGGTTTGCGTTAAAACAACTTCAACACACGCAATGTTCTGATTGCACCACAAACGCAGTAGTCATCCTTACCTTTCACAGAGGCACTGAGTTTTATAAATATGAGCACGATAGTGTAGAATAATCATATCCAAGGACCAGTGGTGGGTATCAAAAAATTTTTGAACCTCTTCTGTAGGTGTGGCTTGTTTTCCGGGTTCACTGGTGGAACCTCTTCTAACCGGTTCTGTAGATTTGACGAACCAGTTCTACCGAATAGGTGCGAACTGGTAGGAACCCACCTCTGGTTGATTTACTAGTTTCTATCTACAATCACATTGAAAATAACCATCTACCATCACCTTTCTCGAGAGGCCCTGAGCACTGCCTGCAACCTTGAGATCTCATGTTTGGCATCTTATGTTAGCGCCTGATGTGAAACATGAAATGGGACACTGATGTTTTCCAATCAGCCCGCTAGGATAGCTGGAATCTGAACTCTTTCAACCATTTGATGTCACGGAACAAAACAAATCACGCATGGCCTTTTGCTTTTTCCAGCACCCCTATCCAACAGAGGATGAGAAGAGGCAAATAGCAGCACAGACGAATCTCACACTGTTGCAAGTCAACAACTGGTAAGTAAAGATCATTTCCCCCCCCCCAAGTGCAATAATCAAATGGAAATGCTTGTTTCCTGCCCAAAGAGAGAACTGCTTTCTTTATATGTAGTACCAAAAGTATGAATCAGTATCACAAGCGCACAGGCTTAGTTAAATCTGCGTAGGTCTATCATTAACGAACTAAAGAATACTTCATCCTAGATCCATCAGCTGATGGCGATAGACTGATGATCTAAGGTTCATGGGATGTGCCTTCTACTGTTCTCTCTCTTTGAAATGGGCTTGGATTAGACTTTTTTTTTCATTTAAAAAAATGTCCCTCTGTGAAGTCTGACAAATGGCCACTTGTCTTCTTGCAACGCCTTGAAAATGATGTCATATCAGATTGCTTTAAAACACCCTTGTTTCTTTCAGAGTTTGCATTCCCTTAGAAAAGACCTGTTTAAAAAAGCCATGAATAGTGGGCCTAAAGCAGCGGGGTGGCATCAGAAGCCAAACTGGATGCGGACACCCAAGTTCCTTACTGATATTTCTTTTGTTTTTCTCTTTTCGTTACCCCTCTTCTCAGGCTCCTGGGAAAGAATTCAGCCACTTAAGAGGCCTCAGTCATTATTTCAATGTAATTTATTTACCGAGCTTTAAATTAGTCCAGAGGCTTCGTGCAATATCTTTGAAGATGGTCTATGTCAGTGTTTCTCAACCTTGGCCACTTGAAGATGTCNCTTAAAGACAATCTTGATGTGGTGCTGCCTTAAAAATGCAATGCTTCTAGCAGAAACTGAATATTGAAATAGGCTACTTCTTATATTCTTAAATGTCTCTCTGTAGATACTTTCTGCAAAATCCAGATTAAGAGAACTAGTGGCATGCATAAACTTGTATGTAAGGCAGTCAATGTATATCCTTAGGAGCCATGGTGATGCAGGGATTAAAATACAGTATTGCAGGCTAACTCACTGCCAGGAGTTCGATCCTGACCAGATCAAGGCTGACTTGACCCTTCATCCTTCCGAGGTCAGTAAAATGAGGACTCAGATTGTTTGAGGCAATATGCTGACCCTGTAAACCTCTTAGAGAGGGGTGTAAAGCTCTGTGAAGTGGTATATAAGTCTAAGTGCTATTGCTATCCTTTTCCCAACCTGCATAGATCTCATGAGTTCACCAAGTCTTTTGAGATGTTAACACCTGTACCCTAATCCTATATCAGAATCTTCTGCAATTTGGGCCATAATTATTATAATATACATTTAATGTTTTGAAATTCAGTAGATGCAGCTAACTTTATATAGAACTCGTCCTAACTGCCACCAGTTACTGTGAGAGGTGATGATATTCTTTCCTGGCAAAGATGATATTCTTTTCTGGCAAAAAAAAAAAAAAACCAAACCCCAAACTGTGTAGGACCCTGTCTTGACGTTTTTACATCCATCCATTCATGACAGTTTGGCTCTAACAGCCAAAGAATTAAAAAAGCGCTGGGCAAATTTTCCAAAGCACACTTTTGTACAGCAATTAATACAGATTTATGCAATTAGCACTGTTTGAAAAAGACTCTGGGGCATTCTAGGTTTCTTGTCCCAATTATCCCTGAAGCTGCAGGGTGGAATAGATAGTTATGACATAGTTTTTAATCTAAATTAAAACTTGTTACTCTAAATATTTTCCAGGTTTTGAATATAATCATTTAGCCGGCAATTCAATAACCCATTTTTCATGGAAATATCCCTTTTTTCCCATGGTCCATCTCCTGGAGTATTTCAGCTGCAAAATGGCCCCAAAATATTTTAGAAAATCTTATACATCATGACTGTCTAACTAATATTGTTCTCACAATACCACGGTTTGTATGGCATTTGAACACAAAGTTGGCATCTATGTGAATCTGGATATTGAAATATGGTTCTCCTTATATTATTAGAAAATAATCTCTATACTTTATGACTGAAATGTGGACTCTTTAGTACTTTCTGAGCTTGAGTGTGTTCCTGCAGAATTTCATTACCTGACTAGGTAACATTTTCAGTGCTAGAAGGAAGTGGGGTTTGCTCTCTGTTTATATATTCCTTTATTCTCCTTATATTCGTACATGACTCTGTTTACACATATATTGCAAATTGCAGATGAGAAGGGATGCTGGCATGCAAAACCTTATTCTAAATATATTGCAATCAAGACATTGAAATTGTAAATTAAGCTCTTCCTGGGGTTTTTTTCCCCTTTGTCATCTGATTATAAAGGACTTCGCTCAAAGATAAGCTTGAGATTTATTTATGCCTTTATTTAGAAAAGGTTTATGGCCTCCCCGCTTATATATGATATTTCTAGATAGCAGAAATGATTGAAAAGGGTTCATTAACAGATAAGATCATATTAATGGGGCCCTGGAGGCTAAAGCATATGATGAATGGCTAAAGGAATTTGATATGTTTAGCCTATCATACCTCCATCCTTGTTTTTTGTTCGGTGAAGTCAAAAGAAAGACAAACCCCCAGATTTTGAAACATTTTTGCATCAGGTGATGAGTGATGTTTTATTGACTTGATTGAAAACTATTCAGTCTCATTACAGATAGATGCCTAGTGAGTTTGAATAGTGCAAATTTGATTTAGGGCAGCTTGATTGAATTGCCTATTTCCTTTGAGTTAGAACCAATTACTCTACTTTCCATAGAAATATCAGATTGTATAGTGCAACCATTTTGTGGGATTCACTAATCACATTCATCGCAACTTACCTGTATTTCAAAAAACTAACCTGTCTTTTAGATAGGAATGCCCTCTGTGTGTGTGGCCAGTTGCAAAAAAACATTGGCCTTAACAGATCTTCCTAGGGATGAGAAATCCCTTAATTTGTCCCTCTTTGTCAATAATTGCTGGAATAAAGAAAAATTAAATGGCAAAACTTGGCAAGTTGAAAATGCTCCTTAAATTAAATAGGCCTCTGGTTCATAAGAGTTTCAAACATCATGTTGAACTAAAAGCAGAAATAAATTTGCTGACACTCAGCAGGGCAGTGTGAAGGAATATATTCCTCACCCATTAGTAGAAGACCANGCTTCAAAGTTTCTGAGCCAACATTTTGGTTGCTAAGCAAGAGCGTTGTTAAGTGAGTTTCACCACATTTTACACGTTGGCCACGCCCACCCAGTCACATGGCTGGCAAGCCACTCCCACCCAGTCACATGGCCAGCAAGCCACTCTCACAAAGTAGGCCACACCTACAGAAGAAGTTCTAAAAAAAATTGAAACCCACCACTGGGAATAACCCTAACTTTGAACTGGACCACAACCTAGACCAGAACATCATTTAAATAATGAGACTCAGTGCAACTCAATAGAGGGGAAAACATAGGTAAGACTACAGGGTTTTCTGCCTGGCAGAGGGTTGGACTAAATGAAGTCCAAGTTCCCTTCCAACTCTGCTATGCTATGCTATGCTATGCTATGCTATGCTATGCTGTGCTGTGCTATGCTATGCTATGCTATGCTATGCTATGCTATCTAGTGGCTAACTATTGATGGACAATTTATGCCCCTGGATTCACTCTTCTTTACACTGCACCTGGATGGGATCCTTCCGAACAGATAATTGCTTTGAAATAGAGAGTTGTTCTTTGTAAATAAAGCATTCAGCTCTCCATGTAATAGCCTGGAGAAATGATTTTTCTTACAGACATATTAAATTACTCAGTGTGTTTCTTGCAGATACCTAAAGTACCACTGGATGACCATTTTGTTAATCTTCTCAGTAAGGACCCTCTGATCAGTTACTACGAATATTATCACATTATTTCAATTATCATATGAAATAACCAAGTAGCACTTGAGCTTCTGGTTGCAGAACGTAACCACATTTAGATCTGGATGGGTGGGTGGGTTTGACCTGGTCACAGCCTCCTTTGCAGAAAAGAGTTCGACGGGTTTTTTTCCTTCCAATGCTATGTACACAACCTCTACATGAGAGTAGGCAATCAAGTGTCTCCTTCATAAGGGTGGAAGATGACTATTTAGAGCAGGGGTCCTCAAACTACGGCCTATGGGCCAGATATGGCCTGCCAAAGCCATTAATCCAGCCCGCACAGGACCACAAGGCTGCCCCACCCATATTACCCCACCTTTCCACCGCCCCAAAGCCCCCCTCCTGGAGGCTAAGGAGGCCAAAAGCAGGATGCACCGGAGACCACCAGAGGCCAAAAACGGGCCCATTTTTTTTGCCTCCCCAGACTACAGAGACACAGAGAGAGGGAGGGAGGGAGGGAGGAACACACACACACACACACACACACAAGTCCCTCAAC